GACCACGACGATGACGAGGACGACGACGACACAGACGACGAAGACGAGGACGACGACGACGACGACGAGGACCACGAGGACCACGAGGACGACAACGACCACGACGGCGACGACGACGACGAAGACAACGACGACGAGGACGACGACGACCACGACGACCACGACGACCAAGAAGACGACGACGACGACGACGACGACGACGACGACGACGACGACGACGACGACGACGACGGATCGCCGAAGCGGTGCTCCGAGTGCTGTGCCTCGGCGGCTCCGCAGCGGGGGCCCGCGGGCGCGGGGGCCGTCCGCCCTCTCCTGCACCGGCCCCCCGGGGGCGCCCCCAGGAGCGCGGCCTGCGCGCCCGGGAGCAGGAGCTGTCCCCGGAGGCGACCCGCTGGGGCGGGGGGCCTCCGGGGAGGGCCTCGGGAGGGGAGGGGGAACCCATGGACTGCTACCCTTTCCTCGTGTTCCTCTGCTTGCGCCTCCTGGGAGGCCCTCGCCGCCGCGGCTGGGTTCGCCTCGACATTCTGGTCAGCGCGGGGGGCCTCCAGGGAGGATCTCAGGAGGGAAGGGGGAACCCATACTGCTACTTTATTCGTGGACTTAATGGGTGTTAGGGTTTTCACAAATGGTCGCAGGCACGCAGAGGGCGAGCGCAGCGACGACAACAATGCTCGGTCTCCAGTGCTTCTGCGGGGCGGCGCCCCCGCAGGCACGCAGAGGGCACGCGGGGCGACGGGGGCGTCGCCACGCAGAGCTTCTAAAGACCAAACATTTTGAAAACCAATTGTTTCCACTACTAAGTACCCTTCCCTCGTGTTCCTCTGCTTGCGCCTCCTGGGAGGCACTCGCCGCCGCGGCTGGCTTCGCCTCGACATTCTGGTCAGCGCGCGCCCCGGGAGAGGTCCGGGGAGCAGCGGTATCGGTACCTGTTGGTTCCCCAAGTGGGGAGGGGGCATGGGCTGGGGGGGGAAGGCTCTCGGGGGGTTTTCGGGCGTCGACATCGGTTCAGGGGGGGCAGCGTCAGGGGATGGGCTCGAGGTTCGGGTTTGCGGGCATGGGCTCAGGGGCGGCAGCGTAAGGGGAGGATGGGCTCGCAGGACAACGCAAGGTTGCGTGACCAGGGATGGGGGGGGGGAAGGGGGCCAGTCATGTCGCGATTCGCACCGGCGCCGTCTGGGGATGCTTAGGAGTGGCTACCTCCGAGATGACGCCGGCGCGAGTCGCAACGTGACCATGGCAGGGGGGAGAGAGAAGCGAGGCCGGTCACGGGCGTCATCTCGCATCATGCCCAAGATGTGTTCGTAGGCTCGAGGTTCGAGAAGCAAGAAAAACACCAAGAAACATGGGTCGAAAACCAGGAAAAGCCCGTCGAGAACCAAGACGAACACCAAGATGTCGGGTGTTTTGTTTGGTTCTCGATGGTGTTCCAGCCTCGGGGTGCTCTCCAGCGGCGGCGCCTCGCCGAGGGCGTCACCCGGGGTCTTGCCGGCACTGTCCCGAACGACGGCCGGAGCGCCGATGTATTGTCGGATGATGCTAGGAGTGCCCCTGCCCGAAGGTGCCCACGGCGTTTCGCTCCATTTGGGAGGCCCTGGGGCCCTCCGGGCCTCGTGAGGGGTGCTCTGGAGGCCGTTTGGACCACCCCGAGAATCCCAGGGGTACCTTCGGCCAGGGACACTTCCAGCAACGGCTTCGGGGCCGACCCCCCCCGCGTTTTAGAGGATTTTGTTTTGTGGGGGGCGGAGCGCGTCGTCAACTTGCTGCTGGTAACGTCGCGGTTTACCCGCTGTGCTTCTCCTCGGCGTTGCTTCCCCTCTCCCCTCTCTCTCTCCGCCGTCCTCAGCCTAAACATCAGCTCATGCCTGGCCTAGGCCTCAGCCTAGCCTAGCTGAAACCCTAGCTAAAATTTAGCCGAAGCCTAAGCCTAAGCCTCAGCTTCAGCCTCAGCCTAGCCTCAGCCTCAGCCCAGCCTCAGCTTCTGCCTCTTCCCAGCCTAGCCTCTGCCTCTGCCTCAGCCTAGCCCACGCCTGGCCTAGGCGTAAGCCTCAGCCTCAGCCTAGCCGAAACTTCAGCCTAAGCATTGCCTAAGCCTGGCCTGAACCTCGGCCTAAGCCTAAGCGCCAGCCTCCGCCTAGCCTAAGTCTCAGCCTGAGCAGCCTAGCCGAAGCCCATCCTAAGCCTCGGCCTAGCCTAAGCCTCAGTCTAAGCCTCAGCGTCAGCCTCAGCCTAACATAAGGCTCAGCCTCAGCCTCGGGGAAGGAGGAGGAGGAGGAGGAGGAGGAGGAGGAGGAGATCGACACGGGCGGCCGCCTCGGTTTGGCGTTGGTGCCTGCTCGGGCGGGCAGGGAGGGGGGTCATGGCGCCAACATCGCAGAGCGGATTTCGTGCGGAAAACGATAGGGTGGGCCCAGATTGTCCTGGAAGATTTCGCTCCGGATTTCGAGGCGAATTTCGTGAGAATTCTTTTGGGCCAGGAATGGAGACTAACAACACCCACGCGAAACTCACTCCGTTTTTCGCTCGCCGTTTCGGGCAAAAACCCACGCAGAAATCCACGCAGAAATCCGCTGCAGCACGTCTGCAAGGCCGGTGTAAGCCTAAGCCTAGCCTCAGCTTCAGCCTCAGCCTCAGCCTCAGCCAACGCCTAGCCTGACTCTCAGCCCTGTTACTGCTGCTACGATACTCGGGTACTACTCCTGCCACATTCTTACGACAGTAATACAACTAAAGTGCTCTAGTACTACTACTCCCCACAACGTTATTACGACTACAACATTACGACCGTACTAACATGCTGCTACACTACTGAAGTATTGCAGTACTTTGCTGCCCCTCCTGCCACCATTACAGCGTTACCGCTACTACTGTACCAAAGTATTACTTCGACTTCAATGGAGTGTTACTACTAACTACAGTAGAACTACGGCACCACAGTACTATGGTACGGCTACCCTGCTTGATCACTCCAATGTTAGAGCTCTACTACTACTTCCAGTATCAGAGCACTACTAGTACAGTTCTTGAGTACTTTTACTGCAGTGCCACTGCCCCCGTGCCACTACAGCACTACAACAACATTACAGTATTCGATAACTACAATCGTGCTGCGATCATACGGCATTGGGAAATTCCTATTTCAGTATTGTAGTACATTCACTGGAGACGATCGTATTGCACTGCTCATACGAATGCTGCACTACACAGCACATTTCTTGCATCGCTACCACTAAACCAGTATAGTTCGAGGATACTACTGCTGTGCTCGAGTACTACAGTAGTGGACCACTTCTACGACAATACGACAGTGCGACTACTACAGCCAGTACTAGACTGTAATATGTATTGCAAGTGCTGAGTACTACCACTGCAACTACAGGACTGTTACCGTCCTGACACCTCATTACTGTAATACGGCTTCTGGTTTAGTACGGTATCGAAATACCGCCAGTACACTCGTAGGTAATCACTACTGCGGTATTACTGCTATTGTATTGTATTACGATTATTAAATCGCCAACGCTATAGCACTAAAGTGTTATAATACTACTACGATGCTGCGATACTGCGGAGTATTTCTGTTTTTAGTACAATCGCACACTCACTGCAGGCAATCGCAGAGTACTGCTCATACGATTATTGTGCTTGGGTGCTGCTTCTACATTGCCACTGCTACAGCAGTACAGCACTACTCCCCACTATTGCAGCGCCCTTCCCACAACACTACCGCTAGAACGCTCGAGCTCAAGGATACTACGACCGTACTCGAGCACTACAGTCGTGAATTACTCTGTACTGCAATACGACAGTCCGGCTACTAAGGCAAGCACTAGAAATATTACCTTCGCTGCACGGCCTGAGTGCCAGTACTACTACTGCTACTACTACTACCACTACCACTACCACTACTACTACTACTACTACTACTACTACTACTACTACTACTACTACTACTACGACGACGACTACTACTACTACTACTACTACTACTACTACTACGGTATCAAAGTACCGCCCGTACAGTATTAGCGGGCCCTTATTGCAATACGAGTGCTAGAGTACTGTTCTACGGCGAGCACAGTGCCACCGCTACAGCAATACAGCATTAGACACATGCAACCGTCTGCGAGACCGCGGCATTGGGGTATCCCTACTACAGTACTCCGTGCGGAGTCACCATCGGGGGCCTGGCGCCGATCGAGCGGCGGCGTACCATGAGCCGGTCGTGCATTCAACGCGCTTGTAAAGGACGCGCGCCTTCATCCAGAGTGCCCCTGTGTCCTTGCCTCTGCGGCCCGTCATTTGCCGTTTCCGCTGGTCGCACACCACCCGAAAAAGTCCAACTCCGACCTCCAAGGGTCTTGCGTCCTTACCGCCCATACAAAAATATTCATGTTGGCTGTGATGTAAGGTTCCCCCTTCACACAGCCCGCCATCATCCGCGATCAGCCTTGCAGCTGCTGAGGGCAAGCGGGTCGGCCACGGCCTTGCTGCTGCCATTGTCAAGCGTTGTGGATCTACACGCCAGTCGTTGAAAGTAAGTATGCGTTTCTGAATTCCCAGATCCCAATCTGCTTCTGGCGCCCTCCTACTTCAAGAATCGATCTGCTTTTGCTATGCTTTGTTGTATTTTTAGGGAGGGCCCGTCTTGCTAGCTCCGGCCTTGGGCAGGGTCGGGCTGAGCTCGCATGGCTGAGAGGGGACCGGGAGGGTATTCGCGCCGATCGTCCGCGCAGCAGGGAGGCGCGAATGCTCTCACAATTCCCCCCCCCTTCGCCGCGCAGCGCCACGCGCTTACATGAATTTGTTTGTACCTACTCCGTGGTTCTACCTTTTTCTTCCCACCGTTTTGTGAGGGCTGTTTCTCTGGTTCCGAACGTTTGCCCGTTTCGGTGACGCGGGGAGCACGGCGCGTTTTACAGCCGGGGCACCATCCCGCTCCCACGTGCGGCCAAAGCTTTGGGCCGAAAAATAGTGTCGGGGGAGGGATCGCCTCGAACAGTCGCCCACGCGCAGAGGGGGGTAGGGGCCACGGCTTCTTAGAAACATGTCTGCTTCTGAGAAGGCGTGGGCCCGAGGGCCTTGTCTGTTGATGAACGGCCGGCGCCTTCTAAGAAGCAGCCTCCTTCCAGGAAGTCGCCACCCCTCCCCCTACCTCCTTCTGCGCGCACCAACACAAGGAGTCGTCGAGGAGGAGTTGAGGCAGGAATTATCACCCCCGATTCTCACAACTGGCGTTTCGTAAACAGTCCTGGGCGTCTACTGAACAGTCTTGCCCTGGTCGATTCCTTCCTTGGGGTTTCCCTTGTGCAGGGTGCTTCTGATGAGGGTGGTCTGTCTGTCACCACCCACCAAACCACCCCAACCCAACCCGAAGGCCCAAATTTATCCTCGATTTCCAGTGGGGGCGGGGTCGGGGAACATCGAAAAAACACACGGGATCCGTACCCCCCCCCACCCGAAATTCGGGTCGAATTCGGGCCTTCGGGTTGGGTTGGGGTGGTCTGGCAGGCAGTCAGTCTGCCCTCTCAAAGGGGAGGCGGGTGGACGGGGGGAAGGGAGCCCGACCGGTCGGACGAACGGACCATTTTCGGATCTTTGCGCCTCGCGCGCGCGCTCGCATGCGGGATCTGGCCGCAGGTTATTCAGGAGGGAAAAAAACACACAGACACAATTAATCGTCGATCCCCAGGAAAATATGGGAAAATATGGGAATTGGGGGGGAAGACAAAAACCCAGAAAATATGGGAAAATATGGGGACTAGTTTTATTTGTGTGTATTTATTTGTGTGTCCTAATTTCCCTTTAGTTATCCGGATAGCCAGACGCTCCGTGCCGAGGGCCTGCTGTCGCCCACCACACGGGAGTGCGGGGACGATGCGCAGAGGAGCGACAACAGAGGGTGTCAAGCACAGGGCGAAACAGTGCGATGGGGGAGAGAGCACGGCCTTCGTCGCCTGGATATTCGCGGCCACCGTCACACGATGGTGTGCCCGGTGGTGCGGGGCAGACGAAATGCCCCATCGGGCCGCTCGCGCGCAGTGGAGGGTGACGGAGGAGCAGGAGAAGGTGAGGGGAGGCGGAGAGGCAGGTGGAGGGAGGGAGGCGCGCACATGCCTTGAGAGCCGGCGTGGTCAGAAAGTTGCAACATGGCACAACATGAGGATCCGGGACCCCTCTGCGGCATTCTTCGAGCCAGATCGATCCGTGATGGTCTTGGGGTGGCCGAGACTGGGCGACCACGCCGGGCGCGAAGCAGCCGCAGCTCCCGGATCTGAGGGTGGAGGGAGGGGGGGGCGCGCCCGGTCTGCGCCAGCCATCTGAGCTCACGAGGGCGCTGGGCAAGAGGCGCCACTCGCAACCGCACTCGGTAGCAAGTCATGGGAACCTTCTATCCCCATCGCAGTCCCGTCCTCAGAGTGCACTGCCGTCGATCAGCGTCTGGTTACCGATGAGAGAGCGCCGATGTAGCGTCGATTTAGCGTCGATTAGCGTCGATCAGCGTCGATATAGTCTCGACTAGCGTCGAGGAGCGTCGATTCGCAGGAGCCGACAAGATGGCGCGGGAGGCTCCCATGAGCTGCCCCTTCTGACCGCAGCGTCGCTTCTGGCCGCAGCGGCGAGCTGCAGGTCGCCCTGCCGCCTCCGCTTCTGTGGCGTCTCCCACCGCCGTCCAAGTTCTGCGCTTGGTGGAGGCAAGGGTGCTTCCGGGGCTCCCCAGTCGCTCCGCTTTCAGACTGCAGTGCCCAGGTGCTGCAGAGGAGGCGGACGCCAACAGCAAAACGTGGCGTTCCGTCGGGCAGGTCCCTCTACAGGAGGAGCCTTCAAGAATGACAACGATTGAGTCTGGGGACAACTCGCCACCAGCTCCGACGGCGCGGCCCGTCGGCCGCCGTCTCCCCCGCGGGTCGGCGCGCCTCACCGCGCGGCGGGGCCGCCCGCGAGGTGCTGCGGGGCGCCGCGGAGGGCACGCGGAGCCTCGCCGCGACCTCCTCGCTGGAGGGCGCCAGGGTCATCGTCTGGAGGGCGGCGGCGGGACCCTCAGTCGGACGGGGCACGGGCGAGGGTAAACTCGATCCCGAGGGGTTCGGAGCGCTCTCGGAGCGGCTTCGGACCGCTCTGCGAAGGCCGCGGCGCCGGAGACGTCCGTTCCAGAGCCGCCGGATCTCAGAGATTCTCGATTTCTCCTCGCCTGAGTTTATCCTGGTCCTGGCTTCGTCTTACCCAAGTGGCAACGATCAGGGGGGGATACATCTGGTGAGGAGAAGGTACCGAAACCGCCACCGGTGCCTCGTCTGCGCCTCTTCGGACCTCCTGTGAGGCCCTCGTTGCCACCGCCAGGTTCGCCTGGAAAGTCCTAGTCAGCACGCCCCCCAGGAGGTCCGGTGAGTAGCGGTATGGGGACCTGTCGGTCTCTTCATCAGGGGCAACGGTCAGGGGGGGATACAGCGATGCCGTGCATCAGGATGGCGTTGTTTTGTTCCTGGGCGGTAGCGGGCGTCATCGAGGGGGGGAGGGAGGGGGCTGGTAACGTCGCGTGGCGCGCCGGCGCCGTCTTGGAATGTCTAGGAGTACCCTAAGACACCTCGGAGGTCAGCACGAACCGTGACGTTACCTGGGGTAGATGAGGGGGAGGGCGGGGCCGGTAACGGCTGTCGCGAAAATAGAACAACGCTCTCCCATAACATGATGCTTTTTCGTCAGGATGCCCTGAGCGTCTTCGCTTCGCGCGTTGCGCGGTGGTCTCCCGCGGCCGTCGAAGGACCTGCGTCCAGGGTGCTCTGGGGTGCCCCCCTGGCGCACCTCGCGCGTGTGTCTTCAGCGCTGGGTTTCTTGCGAGGGTTTTTTGGTGCCGCGTCCGCACTGCAGGCTCAGGGGGGAACGTTTTCGCAAGTGTCCTGAAGGTTTCGGAAGATTTCGAGGCCCTGGGCGGTTTCAATCAGCTGTGCCACGTCGAGGGCCTTCCGGGGGGGCCAGATCGTCCCGAACAGCCGCCAGAGACCCGAGTTGTGACCCGAAAACCAGACGATGAGGATCGCGGATCGCGGATAGGCTCAGGGGGGGATGCATCGACCCCTTATCGCCCATTCAGCGCCGATAGGAGCCCGGTAGCACCACCCCGCACAGGACCTCGCGGATTCGCTGTCGGGGGCCTATCGCCGATCTATTGGCGATGCATTTTCGATTTCCAGGCCGAATTTTTCCCTTCCTGAGATGGTCCCCCCCTCACGTTGCCTCTCAGTCAAAGGCGGCGCCGCCGCCCCTGCCAGAAAAACCGGCGTCGCGGCCCCGTGGGTCCTCCCGCGAGGAGAGGGCGTGACGGCGTTGAACGTCGGCTTGGAGGATTGAGGGATCACGATGATGATGATGATGATGATGATGATGATGATGATGATGATGATGATGATGATGATGATGATGATGATGATGATGATGATGATGATGATGATGCTGATGATGCTGATGATGCTGATGATGATGATGCTGATGCTGATGCTGATGCTGATGCTGATGCTGATGCTGATGCTGATGCTGATGCTGATGCTGATGCTGCTGATGCTGATGCTGATGCTGCTGATGCTGATGCTGATGCTGATGCTGATGCTGATGCTGCTGTTGCTGCTGATACTGATACTGATACTGATGCTGCTGATGCTGATGCTGATGCTGATGCTGATGCTGATGCTGATGTCGTTGATGATAATGCTGATGATGATGTTTATGATGATGATGATGATGATGATGATGATGATGATGACGATGACGATGACGATGATGATGATGACGGTGGTGGTGAAGATGATGCTGCTGCTGAAGATGATGCTTACGGTGATGGTGGCGATGATGATGGTGGTGGTGGTGATGGTGATAATGATGATGATGATGATGATGATGACGATGATGATGATGATGATGATGATGATGGTGATGATGATGATGATGATGATGATGATGATGATGATGATGGTGGTGGTGGTGGTGGTGATGATGGTGATGGTTCTGATGATGATGATGGTGATGATGGTGATGATCGTGCGGAGTAGGAGGAGGAGGAGGAGGAGCGGGCTGGTGCTCAGGATGAGGAAAGGCAGGAGCGCGCAGAGTGGGTAATGGCAGCGTGCGCCATGGCCAGGGCATGCAGACATGCCTGCCACCGCGTCGACCTGTAATGGGGGCTCAGCATGTGCACACTGCTCTCTCGCGCAGTCCTAGGGGCCTCGTTCCAAACGGCAGAGTCAGTATCACACAAGGGTCCAAACGATATGAGCACAATCAACCGACCAGTGCTGTAGCAACAGAGGGGAACCATGCTTCCAGGAAAAGCACGAGGAGCAGGAGGAAGAGAAGGAGCGTGAGGACGAGGCGGATTCGGAACGGACAGCGAGGAGGGGGGGAGGATGGCCCGCGTCACCCAAGCATCTAATTCTACGTGTCCGTCGCCCCCACAAGGGAAGACGCGCACGCGCGCCGCAAAAGTCCAATAGTATATGCTTGGTGGCGGGCGCTGTCTGGCCGTACCGCTCGGGAAGCGGCATACTATAAGAACTTTGTACTACATGTTCGAGTCGGATGCACGCCTCCGACGAGGACATCGTAATAGTATGTCCTTGTGCGTTCCAGGTGGGGGGCGGGGAAGTACCACTGCCCACCGTGCATGCCCTCTACATTCTCGACTACTGTCGGAGACGAATCGGGGGGGTTCGAGGAAAAGTGAGTAGCACGAGGAGCAGGAGGAAGCGAAGGAACAGGAGATCTAGGCGGATGCGGAACGGATATCAAGGAAGCAAAGACGATGCCGGCCACCACAATGTGCGTTTACAAAACAGCCCTGGGCGTGAACTAACCAGCCCCACCCTGTCCGATCCCTTCTTGGGCGCGTTTAATAGAGGGCTTCGTTTGCCGGGGTGATCATTTTGAGGGCGTTTTTACTTTGGAGAGGATGAGGGGAGGAGGATGGGGACGGGGAAGTACAGCTCCCCATGCATATTGTAGTAATGGCCTCGGGCCAGTGCCGCCGATCCGGGGCGCTCCCGATGCGTGTGGGAACGGACGATGACGACGACGACGACCGACGACCGGGTCAACGACGGACGATGATGACGACGACGACCGACGACGACGATGACGACGACGATGACGACGACGACGACGTCGTGCCTTCTGTGCCGCCCCCCCGCTTGAGCTCGACCCCCCCCCCGTCCTCGCTCGAGCTCCCCCCCTTCCCCGACCCCTTCCCCGACCCCCCCCCCGTCCCCCCGTCCTCCGAGCGAGCTCCTCCTTTGGACCCCCCCCGCCTCGCTTGAGCTCGACCGGCCTCGCTCGACCCCCCCCCCCCCTCGATTCTTGGATCCCCCCCCCGCTCCTCCCCGGTTTCTTGGACCCCCCCCCCGCTTGAGCTCGACCGCTCGAGCTTCCTCCTTGGACCCCCCCTTCCCGCTTGAGCTCGACCCCCCCCGCCGTCTTCGCTCGAGCTTCCCCCCCCTCCTCGATTCTTGGACCCCGCTGCCCCCCCGGTTCTTGGACCCCCCCCGCTTGAGCTCGATCCCCCTTTCCCCGCTCGAGCTTCCTCTTGGACACCCCCCCCTCGCTTGAGCTGGACCCCCCCCCCCCGCTTGAGCTCGACCCCCTCCTCCGTCCCCGCTCGAGCTTCCTCCTTGGACCCCCCCCCCCCCCCATTGACCCCCCCCCCCGTCCTCGTTCGAGCCCCCCCCCCCCTCGATTCTTGGACCCCCCCCCCGCGCTGGAGCGTTAAGTGAATTGCGTGGATAATTCGCCGGATCCCGACCCCCCCCCCCCCAGAGCGAAGCTTCAGCGAGCTCAAGCCCACGCTCTCAGAAACTCACACGCCGGATCGGCGGATTCTCGACATTCGCGAGAGAGCCCCGTCGGACAAAACTCTGCCCTTCCATGGCCGATTGCCCTGCAATCTTCACGAGGTCTCGCGGGCGTCGCTGCCGCCCCGTCGCCGTGCGTCGCTGCCGCCGCCGGTAGCGGCGGCGGCGAGGAGGGAGGATGGTCGAGCTGGTAGAGACGGGGGCCAATGCACTCGGGGGTCAGCCAGAGCGCAGAATCTTGCAGGATCCAAGAGGATCTTGCAGGCTCCTGCAAAGCCTGACCGGCCCGGGTTCGCATCGACCCGTGTCAGTAGAAGCCCGAGATGCGCAGCAGGGAGGCGGACCGGGAGATCCGATGGGCAGCAGACGGAGGACGCTTAAGTCCGTACGGAGTAACTAAGTCCGCGCGGAATTCTCGGTTTCCGTCTGGGCTTGCTTCGTCACGACAGTCCGTGAGGAGTAAGCCTGCACGGAGCGCACGGCCTCCATTTGGATTCGTTCTGTCTGAATTTGGCCTTTCCTGAAGCAGGGAGGTGGACTCGGATAATCGATGCGTTGTCTTTTCCAAAGCGCGGTCCCCAGACGTCCCGATCCTTTCTCCAGGGGCCAGCTTTGCATCCCGAGTCATTGCTTGACGGCCCTGGGGGCCCAGCTAGGGGCCTCAGGGGGCGAGAGTAGGAGGAAAGGGAATTGCTGAGGAGGAAAGGAAGGAGGAGGAGGAAGAGGCGGAGGAGGAGGAGAAAGAGGAGGGGAGGAGGAGGACGAGAAGGAGCTGAAGAGAACGAGGAAGGAGCGGAGGAGGTGGAGGAGAATCATGGGGAGAAAGATGGGAACACTGACGATGAGGATGAGGATGATGAGGATGAGGATGAGGATGAGGATGAGGATGAGGATGAGGATGAGGATGAGGATGAGGATGAGGATGAGGATGAGGATGAGGATGAGGATGAGGATGATGATGATGATGATGATGATGATGATGATGATGATGATGATGATGATGATGAAGATGATGATGATGATGATGATGATGATGATGATGATGATGATGATGATGATGATGATGATGATGATGATGATGCTGAGAAAGCGGCGAGCTCAGGCCTTGAAGGCGCAGCGGCCTATTGGAAGCGCCCCCCACGTCCGAGGCTTCGGACAGAGGGCCCTTCGATGGCGGCGCTGCTCGGCCATGCCACGGGCGTGCTCCAGTCGAGCCGCTAACGACTGTTGGTTCGCATGCGGGGAGAAGATCAACCATTTGCCCCAAGAAGCCGCCGCACGCCGCCCTTGACACGCTGCTCGAGGAGGCACTGCGACACGGCCAGGAATTTTCACCCAGCGATGTCGACCAGATTCCCTGGCCTGAGGACACACCGAGTCCAACCTCAGGCATCGCCCGGCCGCCAAAGGCCACGCCATTGCCAGCCGACGACGCGGAACCACTCATGTCTACCGCGGGCCGACGGGGAAAACTTGTCTCCAGTTCCATCGATACTGGCGGCGAGGGGGAAAGCCTGTCTCCTTCCCCGTCGCCAACGACTGATCAGCAGCAACCCGCCATTGACCCGACCTACCAGCCGAGCGTTATCAAGCCCGTGCCCACTGTCGGCTGGAACTCTTTCACACCCAATGGCGCGCCAGGCAAGACCGACGGCATCAGTGATA